ATAAGCACCATGCTGAATCAGACGATCTCTATCAAAGGCATTTGTAAACCTAACGTAAGCCTGACCAAGGTGGGTGGGTTGCATATCAGTGAAGACAACATTCTGCTCGTTGGTCAAGAAATCTGTCACTACTGCTCGGATGGCTTGGAAAGTTACCTGATGCGTCGGCATCGGGTGGATGGTGACGATGGCCAAGTCTTGATTCTTGGTACGAGGACGCATCAAAACCACTCTCTCCATTGGCTTCCGAGGGCCAACCTCCAGATGATTGAGCCCACGAGGGACAAACGGCGTTGGGTCGACATGGTTTTCTAATATATGTATATAGAAAGGGTGGTGGCCTTATACGAGTAGAAAACCTTCCTAAAACAGGATATACAAAAATTTTCTATGAGACCAGAGGAGTTTTGATCGAATTTTAGTTTCAAAAACCACCCTAGGCTGGTTTGCACAGCACACTGCAGCGACCACCGGTCTCAGGCAAAACCTATCTGGGCCGGTTGACTTCGGCCACTAGAAACCAGACTTTTCCCACGTTGGTCCAATTTATTCCAAATTGGCTCAAATTTTACCATTTTCTCTTGTATTTGATTCTCAAATATGGAAATGCAAAGTCCACTGACTGCTTTGCTGGCAATAGTATGTACTAAAAAATTCTACGACACAGGCCTCGGGAGCTTGGTCTTGCTAGGTTGTTAGGCATGGTTCTTTACCTGCTGATGATACACCCTTTTTTCTGTAGCTGCTGATTATACTATATATATTAATCCTTCTCCAACGAAAGCCATAAGAGTATCTCCTGAGAGCCTTTCTAAATCTCACTCTCTAAATCATCATTTATAGAGTCATTTGTATAAAAATCGCTTTCTATATCTTTTCAGTCTCCAAGCACACTCTAAAGAGTCATTCTCGTCTTTTATTTTTGGTTAGTGAAAAATCCAGAATAGAAAATAGTTATATTTGGATGACCATTTAGAAAAGCTGTTAGAGGTTAGTTTTTCACCAAAATCTCTATTCCTAGCAATTAGAAATGATATGAAGAGTTTCTTGGTTATACTCTAAAGCCGGTCTAGCATACCACCATGGAAAGCTGGTGGTTCGGCAGAATTATCGCACGGAAATGAAACTGAATGTCTTTTGTGCCAAGCAACAAACCGTGTCGAGAGAATCTGTTATTTCCACAAATGCTTATGATTGTCCATTTTCCCCGTAACGGAGATTCTTCATCTGGATTAATGGGAGACGTAGAGGCCCTCCCAGCGCTGCAATGGATGCAGCCCGGAACGGCAAACATCACAGCCGATTTCAGGAGCAGACCGAACGCGCATTCCTGCAGGTCCTCTCTGCCTTTGTAGTTTGTGCAGGTCGCTAGCCAGTCGTTCGGCGGCGTGACGGGCGCAGGCAGCTCTGATCCATCCGCGGACAGGCGCAGGCCGCGCAGCAGCGCCTATAAATTTGCACCTGGTCGATCGAGGTCGACCACCAGTCCACCACCACAAGCATATGATTGGCAAGGGGCAAGAAACAGAACGAGCTGTCGCTGCCTACTGCCCTGGTACGTCGTCTTCTGGACTCTGGAGCCAGGGGCTGGGCTTGCAGTTCCTTTTCCTTTCATTCCCACTTTTGTCTTTAATTTCTCTTATTAGTTCCCTCTCATCTGTCGACACTGAACTTTATGTGTCATGGATGAATTATGATTGGTTGAGATTGGATGGCTCAGATAGGAAAAAGATTATTGTTATACCTGGTCAAGTTGACCTAATTAGCCATAGAAAATTTAATGCATACTGTTTAACTTTCGCTGCTTGTTGGAAAACTCTGAGCACTAGCTGTGTTAATTATTATTATTATTATTATTATTATTATTATTATTATTATTATTATTATTATTATTATTATTATTTATCATCATCATCATCTAATTGTATGATAACCATCCTGTTAATCACTTACTTTGAGTTAATAAAAAATGTTCCTGGAACTCTTCAACTGCAAAAGAAAAAAACAATGGAAAGTTGACTTATCACTAACCATGAAAGCGGCACTAATTGTGGAGTGAGCGTTGTATTTAGACAGTGCCACTCGTGTATTGTGGAGTGATGGTTGTAGCTAAACAATAATTGATACTTATGCATTTTTTATCTTTGTTGGGTTTATTGTTTCATACCTCTTACTAATAAAAAATATTTATATTAAATTGTACTTTTCTCTTTATTCATTTTAACATAAGAGGCAAAATAGACACTTTGTAGTGTTTATACGATTGTAAACTTATAATCAATTATTTATCTATATGCTTTTTATTTATATCCACAATTTTTTACAGAATATCTTTGTGTATATTTAATATGCATTTAGTTCAAAACTTAGCTTCAATTATGGTTGCTCTTGCTGCAGCTCATATATTATGATGCCGTGAATCTAAATTTTAATTTTCCAAATTTTATCTTACTAATTTCTACTTTGATATAGTTTTTTATCCTTTTGTGCTTTTTAGAAAACAATAAGGACTTGAGATCGTAACTTGTAATCTTAAGTACTACGATGGCATAAACAATCGTTTAAAAGTTGCATAATGTTGCTTAAGATCGGTGGTACAGGTTGAAGTGAGATCTAGGATGGGTAAAGATGCTAACCTCAATAGGATATTAATATTTAAGCTTTATAATAATTGTTTATCCAAATGAATCCCAAAGTCTAGGAAGATATGGCCACCTGTGGGCTGTACTAACCTTCCCCATCTCTCAGCTATTCGAATTTTTTTTGTCAAGGAATATGTGCAATAACAGTTATACTATCAATCAATATAGATGTGCCAAACATTTTTTATTAAAATGTGTAAATATATCTAAAGTAACAACTTATATAAACTATATGTCATGGCTATTAGTATAGTGTTAAATAATTTGTTATTATCATTAGTATATGAAATATTATGCAAATATTTTTCATGATCGTTGAAACATAACATATATATTTATAACTCATGCATGCATGTGTTCATGATTTGAATGATGGTAGAACATGTATGATTATTTAGTCAAATTTTAATATATTAATGTCAATATAAGTGGGTAATGTACAAATATATATGTTTTACGTTTATTTAAACATTTGTTATAATAGAAGATTTTGATGATTTAGATGTAGATTGGAGGGGACAATTTAGTTTTTTTATAATGACATAAGTAGTAATTTAGATAGAAATTTAAGGAGCTATGTAGATTATCTATCATAATAGCAAGTGGGTAATTACATGCAAATTTTAGGGGTTATGTAGATTATTTATCGTAATAGTAGATTGATACTTAGTTATCTATCATGTTTCTTAATGGCATATGTGAGTAATTTAAATATGGATTCATGGGTTATTTTATATTTTTTACAGTCATAGAGGTTTTGTAATTGTTTACAATTTTCTAGTTGTTGCAATTTTCTATCCATGTGTTAAGTTGAAACACTATTGCTTATGTATCCTTTATTCAAATTTTATTTTATTTTATTTTAAGAAAATATTCTATGCCCAAGTGTACCCGGCTCTTACAATGTCTCAGATAGTCGTTTTACCTTGCACCATGAAACTAAAGATGTTGAATTTTTTTATATCAAACATTAGGTATGTAGTAGTATTGTTTTATAAATTATATAGTATTTAATTAGATTGGTGATATTGATATAACATAATGTTTCTTCAATATGTATAAACTTATTTAAGACAACTTAGGAAATTTATTACCATGGAGTATTGATATGAATTAAAGTTGTTAGTCATTGCTATGTGTTTTCTTAACTATTTTTTCCATGTTCGATAAGATATTTAAATAAATATTTATTTAATGCGTACATATTTACTTGACTAATAATTTTATGTTTACTTTTAACGTAAATACATAGAAAGTGTGTAATTTAAAAATATACATAACATACTTTACGGATGTTGAAATATTTTTGTAATAGGTTATATTAGCATTTACCTCTAGATTTGAGAATTTTTTGTTATTTTTTATAATGGCTAAGGTGGATAATTTACATATGAACTAAAAGGTGTTACTTTCTAATATCTTTCATAATTGCATATATTGGTAATTTGAATGCAAACCTAGGGATTACTTTGTATCATCTTTCATAATAGCATATGTGGGTAATTCATAAAAAAATACGACAATGTTATTTTAAATTATCTTTTATAATAGCAGAGTTGGTTAATTTAGATATAAACCTAGAGGGTTATTATGATTAATCTTTTACTAATGGCAGATGTGGATAATTTACATGCAAAATTTGGGGTTGGTTTGAAAATTCTTTCATAGTGGCATATGTAGGTAATTTAGATACAAATTTATGGGGTTATTTCAAATTATAATGGAAGAAGTGGATAATCTAGATACAAAATTAGTGGGTTACTTTGTGTATTTAGGTGGGTAATTTTTAATAAAACATAATAGATCCAATGTCTATTATTAGCAATGATGATTAGAGATACTAAATTAAAGGCTAGATATTTATGATTATTGTGCTAATTTCTAGGATTTAATTATATTTTTTTGTAAGAATTAACATGGAGCCTCCATTAGAGCATTAGTAATAGTAAGATGTTTTGTATTGCTAAGAATAAGCTTTTGAATACTATTTTGTTGACGAAAATATTTGGAATACTATAGCACTATGCCTTCCCAAACACATCTAATAAATAAATTGCACTACGAACAAAGGGTATATATCTTCCCCAATGTACTGCTAGTCTTCTACACTGTATATAGTCTTGTCAAGGGCTTTTTAATTACTTAATTTTGAGTGTATATTCTTGTAGTACACTAAATAAGTCTTTTGTTTTTTCAAATTCCAATAGTGGTTACTCACTTGATTTGTTATCAAGCAGGAGTGGTACAATTGGTAGTACCTTTGAGTGGATCATATACTTGAGGTACAAAATGTTTTCGTCAAAACCTACCCAATTCTCCAATTCTTGCAACACAACCCGGCAGAGTTCCCTAGCAAGGATGTCAGCACAAATAACCCTTGATGCTGAACTTGGCACAAAATATGAAGATTCTGGTGATTCCTTTGATTACCCCATGTTGTTAGAGGGGACCACTTCAAATCTACAGCAGGAGCGTTCAGAGGAGGATACAGCCTACTTGCAGCCATTTGGTTGCTTGTTGGTGCTTGATGTAATGAGCCTCAATGTCATTGCATTCAGTGAAAATGCACCCGAGATGCTTAAAACAATCAGCCATGCAGAGCCAAGTATCTATGAATCCCCAATGCTGTCCATTGGGACGAATGCATTGTCACTTTTCGTGGAATATAGTGCCACATCACTACACAAGGTACTAAGGTCTGCTGATGTTTCTTCTTTGAATCCAGTCCTAGTTGAATGCAGATCATCGGGCAAGCTATTTTATGCCATTGCCCATAAGGTGACTGGTACTGGTTGTCTAGTGGTTGATTTTGAGCCAGTGAAGCCTTCTGAAATTTCTACTGCTGTTGCATGGGCTTTGCCGCAGTCTTACATGCTTACGGCGCCGGCAGTATCAAAGATCCAGTCAGTGCCAGGTGGGAGCATGGAGGTCGTGTGCAATTCTTTGGTACAAGAAATCTTTGACAGTGGGATATGATAGAGTCATGGCTTACAAGTTCCATGAAGATTATCATGGTGAGATCATTGCTGAGGTTAGAGAACCTGGTCTTGAACCATTTATTGGCCTACACTATCCAGCCACTGATATCCCTCAAGCCGCGAGGATTATTTTCATGAAGCACCAAGTTCAAATGATATGTGACTGCTCTATGAGGCCAGTGAAGATTATCAAAGACGAGGAACTCCCTTTTAATGGGGTGCCACAAAGTTGTCACCTTCAGTATATGAAGAACATGAAATCGGTTGCCTCTCTAGTAATGGCTGTTGTGATAAATCAAAAAATGGAGAATATTCTGATGCCAAGCATGAACAACCAACAGAATGGCGGCGCCTGAGGAAGAAGCTATGGGGCCTCATTGTTTGCCAGCATATGAGCCCTAGACTGTCCCCTCTTCGCTACGGCATGCATGTGAATTCGTAGCACAAGTGTTTGCTGTCCACATAAATAAGGAGCTAGAATTGGAGAAGCAGATGTGACACAGAAGTATGATAAAAAGGTTAAAGGTTTTGTTCTCCATGACGTACCATTTTTTTCTTCATTTATTTTTATTAAGCTCTCATAGCAAGCTAGGAGTTTTTCTATCTGATTTACATCAATGTTGTAAGGACCATTGGCTTAATAATGTTCCATTATATTGCTGGGCTCACAGGTTAAGTCATATGGATTTCTAGATGGGTGAACTTGTGTTACAAGACATGCTGGAGGCCGCAATAAATGAAGTACGGCCAGCTTGTCAAGGAAAAGGGATCAGACTATGTACCGATCTTGCAGAGAAATTTCGCAAGCAAAGGCTTCATAATCCGAACTTAATGCAGCTACTGCAGAATGTCCTGTTCGACTTCCTAAGTCATATGGATTTCTAGATGGGTGAACTTGTGTTACAAGACATGCTGGAGGCCGCAATAAGTGAAGTACGGCCAGCTTGTCAAGGAAAAGGGATCAGAGTATGTACCGATCTTGCAGAGAAATTTCGCAAGCAAAGGCTTCATAATCCGAACTTAATGCAGCTACTGCAGAATGTCCTGTTCGACTTCCTATTTGCTTCTGTGAAGTTCTGTCCCATTCACTACTGGAAACCCGCACTTTGCCGAGTGCCTTTCGGGCTTTGCCGAGTGCCGCACTCGGCAAAGGGCACTCGGCAAAGAAGCCTTTGCCGAGTGTTTTTTGTCGGGCACTCGGCGAAGCCTTTGCCGAGTGCCGGAAAAGCACTCGGCGAAGCCTTTGCCGAGTGCCGGAAAAGCACTCGGCCAAGATTTACACTCAGCAAAATAAAAATGCGAAAAAAACCCAAAAATAATAGCAAATTTTTTTTCGGGGAAGGGCGCCATCGGCCGCCAGCGCCACCGGCCATCGAAGTCGCTGTATTTTTTGAGCAAAATTCGTGGGGTAATGTGGCCGACGGGATTCGAACTCACGACTTCTCCCTCGTGTGTCTGCTACTCTACCACTGTACTACACTGTCACTTGTATCTAGATTCCGTTATCTATCCTCATATATTATACTAAATCGAGAGTAAATTGCTTGTTTGAGGCCCTAAATGAATTCAAATTAAAAAGTGGTCAACTACAATGTTTCATAACTTTTCGAGATCTACAATTTTTATTTAGGAAGTCTTTTCATCCGAGGTCGTTTGAAAAATTTGAATTTCAAATTTGAGAGATTCAAACATAGTTTTGCATGATAAGATGATTTCAAATCATAAAGTTGTCAACTACATAGTTTCATAACTTTTGGATATCTACAATTTTCATTTAGGAAGTTTTTCCATCCGAGGTCGTTTGAAAAATTCGAATTTCAAATTTGAGAGATTCAAACGTAGTTTTGCATGATAAGATGATTTCAAATCAAAAAGTTGTCAACTACATAGTTTCATAACTTTTGGAGATCTACAATTTTCATTTAGGAAGTTTTTCCATCCGAGGCCTTTTGAAAAATTCAAATTTTCAAATTTTCAAATTCAAACGTCATTTTTGCATGACAAGATTATTTCAAATCAAAATGTTGCCAACTACAAAAATTCATAACATCTCAAGATCTACAAAGTTTATTTTGGTCATTTGGTCATCCGACATAGTGGTAGTAACATTATTCACAAATCATATATATGTCTCTTCGACTTTTATGAAACTAATATGAGAGAGATGTAGATTTTATGAACAACGTTATTGTCGCTTTGTCAAATGAAGAAATGACCAAAATAAACTTTGTAGATCTTGAGAAGTTATACAACTTTGTAGTTGAAAAGTTTTTCATTTAAATTCATTTAGGGCCTCAAAAATTGCTTTGAAAAAATGATTTGCCGAGGGCAAAAAAAATGCACACGGCAAAATGCCTCTTTGCCGAGTGCCAAAAAAAAGGCACTCGGCAAAGACGCATTTTACCGAGTGCCAAAAAATGGCACTCGGCAAAATACATCTTTGCCAAGTGCCAGAAAAAAGGCACTCGGCAAAGACGCATTTTGCCGAGTGCCGAAAAATGGCACTCGTCAAAATACATCTTTGCCGAGTGCCAGAAAAAGGCACTCGGCAAAGACGCATTTTGCCGAGTGCCGAAAAATGGCACTCGGCAAAATACATCTTTGTCGAGTGCCGAAAAAAACACTCGGCAAAGCTTCCGGCACTCGGCAAAGTGCCGGTTTCCACTAGTGATTGGAGGTTCCATTGTAATATCTTGCAACCAGACTATGAAAATTGGAGAAAATATTAGTACCATGGATCTGGAACTTAGGTACACTTCTCATGCACTTTATTGCACTCATACAACATTTTCCTGATATGAAGTAGTGATATTCGAATAATACTTAAAAGCTAGCATTGCATTTATGGGTTTCAGGATCAAGCACACAATGATAGCACTCCCAGAGGAAATGTTTTCACAAATGTTAGAAGGAGACAATGAAGAGCAGTCAGAGGAGGACTTCCCCCTTGTAATTTGTAGAAAAATTATGGCCCTGTTTAGTTGAGCTGTGGCTTTTAAAAAAGTTGTTGTGAGCTGTGGGCTGTGGAAAAACTGCTGTGAGCTAAGAGTTGTGGAAAAAGTTGAAAGTCGTTTGGTTGGAGCAATTGTGAAACTGTAGGCTGTGTAAGAAATGTATGTCATGCTCCTGAAGTCCTAAGGGACTATTTATATGCAAATTGCTCGTAAATAACTATTCTATTCACTTATTCGCATGTAAATCACTATTTTGGAAAGGAAACATTCAGCCTGTTCGTTGGTTGGTTTCTGGACTGATAAGCTCGGCTGGTGCTGGTTTATTGTGAGAGGAAAATATTGTACCATGACTGATAAGCCCTGGCTGAAACCAACAAGCGAACAAGCTTATTAATTTTTTCTAAGTTTTCATGAATCAAAGTGATATGGTCCACATAAATAGAACAATAGCAATTTATAAAAGACAAAGGGCACATCCATTGATGTCATCCCTCAACATAACTATCCTCATCTCGCACTAACCAAAGCATCAGCCATTCTACTGCGAATGGTATTCATGGTATGCTCCTTCTCCACATCTTCACTCTCATGTCCCTGTGTTTGTGTCGTGTCACTTATCTGTTGTACCAAGTATTCCTCATCAGCATCACATCTCTCGAACTTCTTATCACGCAAATTGCTGTCACGGATAAAATTATGCAATGCCAAATAAGCAATAATGATATGCTTCTGAGTACGAGTTGAGAAACTTGGTATACCCATCAAAATACAGCCTGTTCGGTTGGCCGGTTCATATCGTTGCTGGTTCGTGAAGAAGTACTGCTGGCTGGTTTGTGTGAGGGAAAAATATTGTTCTGGCTGAAAATTTATGATCGTTTACGACAATCCACAGCCAAACGAACAGGCTGATACACCACTTCTCCTTATATACTCTGAAAGCCCGCTCAATGACACTTCGAAGGGAAATGCAAGAAATTGAACACCTCATAGTTCCCTTGGGTGGTCCAGAATGATGAAGAAATTCTGGTATATGGTATGTGCTTCCTTTGAAAGGGGCAAGATACCCTATTCGGTTTGGATACCGGAGCCCTTCACCTACTTGCGGCTCCCACAGGGTACTTATAGCTAGGCCTTCCTTTCAAGAATTTAGCCCTCTTCTGTCCAAGATTGAAACCAAGCTCAATGGGATCAGCACTTTCATATCAAGGCAGATTAGTACCTGTTAACTCTGTCTTCACAGCTATGCCAACTTTCTATATGTGTAGTCTCATTTTGCCTCCCCAAGTCATTAAGCAAATTGACAGGTATAGGAAACATTGTCTGTGGAGTGAAGGTGATATCAACAAAAAAAGGTTCCTGTTTGGCAGGCTGGGAGCCTGCTTGCAGGCCCAAAACTGAGCGTGACCTTGGCATAGTTAACATACAAACACAGGAAAAAAACCCCTCTTATTGAAATTCATGGACAAATTCTATAATCATGCAGATGTCCCCTCAATAAGCCTGGCATGGTCAAAACTTTACTCCACCAATGTCCCAAACCATGCAAGATGTCTAGTTGGATCCTTCTGGTGGAAGGACGTGCTCAAGCTATATCCTGATTTTACATCATGGCAACATGCAAGCCGAACCTAGGTAGCTCCATCCTCTTTTGGTCTGATAACTGGATTGAACCCTGTCTCAGAAACATATTCCCACATCAGTTTTCCTTTGCCAGAACAAAGAAAAGCTCCCTCAGATTCTTCTTGCACAATGAAGTCAATTAGATTTTTGCTCTTCCACTCTCAGTCCAAGCCTCTGAAGAACTTGAGACCCTTCAACTCCTTCTATAGGGTAGGATTTGGAACCAGGATCTTTTAGACAGCTGGAAGTACAATTGGAACGCCTGGAAATTCAGCTCTAAGAAAGCTTACATTCTCCTTCAAGGCCCTCACTAGCCTCCCCCTCTTCTCCTGGCTTCGGTCTTCTGGAAATTTTGGTAAACATAAGTTCTTCTTCTGGTTACTCCTCAAAGACTGCTCAAACACAAGGAATCTGCTAAGAAGAAAGAACAAAGTTTTGGAGGACTACAGCTATGCCATTGGCAACTCTGGAACTGAAGAGACATGTATACGCCTGTTCTACGAGTGCCCTTTCATCATAGCCTGCTGGAACTACCTGGATATACATTGGAATTTAAACATACCGCCCATGGATATGGTCCTAGAAGCCAGGTTAGATATTGGACTAAGCTACTTCAGAGAAATCATCATCGCTACTTGCTGGATTATTTGGACCTCAGGGAATAGACTGATTTTTTATAACATACCTTGCACTGTCAACAAGTGGAAAGAGCATTTCAAAAATGAAATTTCCTTGGTTTGCATCAAGGCCAAACCCAACCTTGAAGGTGCCCCAAATCTTTG